CAAAGATGGGTGTTCTATGACTGCATTTTGGATCAAACGATGCCTTGTGAATGAACAACAGGTCAATCGTTCCTGATTGGTGTATTCACCTTTACATAAAGTAGCATATTGCTTTTGTCTTCTTTTTTTCATATGCATGTATGACATCCGATAGTTGGTCTGCTTTCAAAACACATGGTGGATTCTCTAAGTGGAAAAAAAATTAAAATTTAAATGCCCATGAAAATAGTGACAATCAACGCGAGTCATTTGCTGCTTGGAAAGAAACTGAGTGCCAAATTCGTCTTCAAAGTGGCATTGATGAAGAGCTGCAAAGGCAAATTCAGCAAGAAAAAAAAATGGAAAGACATACTGCGACGGTTGCTGAATTGTACACAATATTTAGCTTCTCAGTATCTTGCATTTCGTGGTCATCCTGAGGACTTAACCTCAAACAAAAACCCTGGAAATTTCCTGTCACTTTTGCAGTTATTAGCAAAGTATGATCCAGTAATGAAAGAGCATTTAGAGCGTGTTAAAAACAAGCAAACATCAACATCTTATCTTTCTCCTGAAATCCAAAATGAGTTTATAAATCTCATGGCTTCACATGTGCAAAATTATTGTTTGTCAGTAATCTGTAGAAACAAAACTATGGTATTCTGTTTGATTCCACACCTGATGTAGCCCATTGTGAGCAACTGGCCCAAGTGAATCAGTTTGTTGACATTGACTTTAAGACAAGAAAAGTAGAAGTCACAGTCATTTACTGACTTTATACAGATAAAGGAAAAAGACACTGCCAATATTGAGAAACAATAAGCACAAAATTAGAAGTGGATGGAATTTTATTGAGTGATTGTTGTTCACAATGTTATGATAATGCTGCTGTCATGTCAGGTCATCTGTCAGGCATTCAACAAAGAATTCTGAACAAATATTAAAAAGCAGTGTTTATAAATGGTGACAACCATAGTTTGAACTTAGCATGTCTTCATGCTGCAAGTCAGGAAACAACAGTTATTACCTTTTTTGGTATAATTGAAACCATTTATAATTTCTTTGCTTATTCAACAACTCGATGGGATAAACTGCAGCAGGAGCTTAAGATCTCTGTCAAGCGTGAATCAGAAACACGGTGGAGTGCAAGAGAAAAGGTAGTAAAAGTGGATGAATTGCTCGGACTGTTAGAGCAGTTAAGTGAAAATGGCAACGTGGCTGAAACAAAATGTGGTGCTCATAATATTCTGTAACGCATGCTTACATTTGATT